TCACCGAGATCCATATAAATGAGTCTACGGTGAAAGTCTTACAAATAATTAATTTGTAACCAAATCCCAGCCACGCTGCAGCCTGTAGCAGAAGGGACTCTACAAAAAAGCATTGCTGGGCCGAGCCCGCACTGAGAGGCGTCCAGGCGAAAACACGGAAACTTGCCCGTTTTCCTGAACAACACCGTTTTTCTTGACGTCACTCATGACAAATTTGTGCAGCTGCGCGGCTGACGGCGCGGAGAGTACGTTGGAGTGCGACTCGGTACGATGGCGGGAAAACTGTCTCTGCATCTCGTGCCTGAATTTCCGACCCGTCAAACAGTAGAGGTAGAAGTTGAAGGTGTTGTTACAGTACATGATGATGTTGACCACAGCCCAGGCGAGTTCCAGCCTCGCTTTACCTTGGGCAGTGCTGCCAACTTCCAGGGCTGAGCCACCCCGTTCCCACATGTTGTACACGCAAGTTGGTGACGTAGTCAGTAAAAAGATGGCGCTGAGGCCGAGAAGGATCGCGGTCATCGATGAAGCATGTCGTCTGCGCATCATGGCGTTTGTCCCCGAAGTGAGGTTGAGTTCAGCTGCGGTTTTGAGGGATAAAAACGTTTTCCAGACGATAATCGCGTTCCCGATAATGAGACAGACGAAAGGGAGCAACGATAGAACACACAAGTCAACAAGCGGCCAGATTTCGTGGACAAAGTATCGGTACTCGTCTGAAATGGCATCGCACACAAACGTTCCATTCGTATTGTGAACTGTCAACCCGAAGAGAAAGTGCGACTGTATACAGCAATGAAACACAACGATAAATCCGATGAGCATGCATGCCCGTCGCTTCGTGCAGAAGGTGTTCACTCTGTGAGGGAGACAGGCCGAGCAAGTACGCTCCAAAGTCATGACCACCAGAAGCCAGGCTGAGACCGAGAGAGAGACGTAGACCAGCCAGACGTGGGCCTTGCACAGGGAGGTGTGCTGCTTCCGGAGGTCAAGGTCGAAGGTCCAGTATATCCACCAGCGTAGGAGTCCAGTGTACAGCACGCACAGATCGGAGATAGCCAGGGCTCTGAGGTAGATGTGCATGGAGGTACGGCCGAGACGAAGACGGCGCAACATCAGCAGGATTAAGACGTTGCCGAATGTGCCGAACAGGAAGAGAATGACAGGGCAAACCTGAGCACGGGAAAGGGACATTGGATATAGAGGGTGATTGTTTGTATAACTTTACAGTGGTAATTTTGGGAGATTGTGAGAGAAGAAAGGGCAGAATAGGTAGCAAAGAACGTATGTCTGTATGTAAGAATCGAAATATGAAAGAATGCACGGCACACACACACACACACACACACACACACACACACACACACACACACACAC